GGGGGGTGCAAGGGAGTGGGGGGGACGGGGGTGGGGTGGCGGGGAGGGCAGAGGGTGGGAGGGCAATTTCCGGCCCTCAGGCCTCCCGCGCCACCTGGTGACAGGGGCTGAAGGTCAGGGAAGGGGGCGGTGGGGACGGGGAGATTCCGGCATTTAGGCACAAAGTACATAACGTTAATTCAACCACCACGACCGGACACCTGGCTGAGCGCAGTAACAATAGTTCCACTGCGCCCATTTTGCAGAGGCTCATGGAAGTCAGATGCCTGCCTGAGGTCCCTTAGCTGTGAGGGACAGCTCCTCATTTGGGGGACGCTGGCCCAGGGTAGAGTACGGAGGGTGGAGATAGTGTACTAGTGGCCTCGCGCTGGACAGGAGTCTCCCGTAGCGCCTGAAGGGGGTCGACGGCCTCTCTGGGCCTATCCAGGGCAAGGTAAACTGAGGCACGGGCCTTTCCTCAGCCCGGGTCTCCTGTCTAATGGAGCAACAGTGGCCGGCTCTAATCACTCACCCTCAGTCTCACACACACACACACACACAAACACACACACACTCACATACCTACAAACACTCTCACACGTGTACACACCCACACATGCCAACTTGCACACCCACACACTTGTACACACTCACACTAGCACACACCCACACACTCATATGTATACACGCTCACATTTACACACCCTCCCCCACTGGCGCCTTAGCAAACCTTCCCTCCGGGGCCCTCACTTTCACCTGCTTGGTCTCACTCCATCCTTACACCTACCTGTGCCCCAGGCGGGCACGTGTCACTGTGTCCCTTTCACAGGTGAGGAAGCCAGGTTCACTGGTCCCTTCAAACTCCTGGTGACGGCCGGGCAAGGTTTGGAAGGCTGGACGAGGTTTGAGGCAGGGGCGTGGGGTAGAGCTGGAGGCCTCCAGCAGGGCAGGATCTGGGCCTGGTGGGACTGCCGGGGGCGGGGTGGGGAACAGGGCTGGGGGTGGGTGCTGACCGCTTTCTCTTTCTCCAGGCCTGGTCACCTCTCTGGAGTCAAGTCTGGGTGGAGAGTGGCCCTGGCCACTGGTGTCAGCAGATCTGGTGTGAGTGTGGGCTCAGCTCACACAGGCTGTGTGACTTGGGGCAAGTTGATTCACCTCTCTGAGGCTCAGTTTTTTTATCTGTTAACCCAGGGTAAAAATCTCACCTCCTGGGGTTGCTGTAAGGATTAATGAGATAATATGTGCAAAATGACCAGCACATAGTACGTACCTAACTTATGGCTAATGATAATTGATAGTGACGGTGAACACAGGTACGAAGTATTATTACCTCCCCACAGCTTCCCTACACCCACAGGAAGCCTAAAGAACCGCCATTCAGTGGATGTGTATGAAGCACCTACTATGCGCCACTGTGAACAAGACAGACATGCTAGTCCTGGAGTCAGTGCTGTGTCTGGTCAGGGTGCTCAGACACCCCCATGCCCCGCCCACCTCAGACCTGCCCCCTGCGCGGCCGCGTCTGGCCTGGGGGGATAGCTCTGAAGGGACAGTCTGTGATCACCATGGATGCCCTGGTGCCTTGCACAGTGTCAGCTGTGTGCCTGCCCTTGTGTGGAAACAGGAAGACGAGTCTGCCTGTGGCCAGGCTCTGGGGGCCTGTCCTGTGTGGCCCGGGGCTGTGGCAGCAGAAGTGTCCTTCCTCTTTCTCTGGTGGAGTGACTGGCTCTGGCCTGGAGGGAGGGCTCTGACTCACCATGACGCAGGAAGCTTGGTCACAGCTGCTGCTGCTCCCAGCTGGCAGCCTGGCAGCTCTGGGGGCAGAGGGGATGGGGAGGGGGACCCCTGCAGAGAGGACAGGGCAGCTCACAGGGGAAAGGATGCCTGAGGAGTCTACTGTGTCCCCTTCAGCTTAAGACAGGGACAGGTGGACGAGGCTGGGCAGCGGCCCCACACGGGGTCCCTTGCTCACCAGCTCAGAGAGATGGCTGGGCAAGGTGGGGTGGTTCTGGCTGTCCCAGCCTCCAGCATTCATGCTGGTCAGTTCCACACTGAATCAATCCTCTCATTGTAGAGATTGGCGCTCAGAGAGGGGCAGGGGCTTGCCCAAGGTCACACAGCAAATTGATGGCAGAATGGGGACGAGAACCCAGGTCTCCTGCCTGTCAGCCCAGCCCTGGCACTAACCTGAGACTGGACCATGTGAGGGTGGGCAGCTCCCTGTTGCATGCCCACATTCACCTTCCCTGTCCTTGGAATTCTGCTGAAGCTGATGGTTCCCAGACTCCCAGACAGCTCTAAGATATGTGGCTGTCCTTCCCCAGGGGCAGGCTGTCCTTTCTCGGCTCAGCCCACAGCCCATCTGCCCTGTGACCTCCCATTCCCCTCCCCCAGCACCCTCCTCCCCATCCATCTACTGGGGGGAGGAGAGAGGAGGCTGCTGCTGGGTGAGGGGACCAGGGGAGAGAGTGCCCTTCACACCCCGAACCTCATTCGCCTGTCATGGTTTTGGGGATCCGGGCAGAGTCCCCACTCCTGTGGCTGCCCTACTTGTTCTGTTCAACAACGGACATTCACTGGCCCTGGGTGCCCAGCCCTGGGCTGGGCCCTGGAGCATGGAGAGCAGATGATGCAGGGTTTGGTCAGGGAAAGATTGATCAACGGGAGCCGTTCAGTGATGAGTCAGACCCAGTCCCTGCCCAGGCAGTCCTGGGAGGGGGACGGCACTGCACGAGGGCAGCCGTGTGCATCAATAGCTCGGGTCAGAGTGGACACTGGTGCACCCCCACGCCAGCCAAGTGTGAGGGGAGAGTTGCTTCTGCCAAGGGTTGTGGGGATGGCTTCAAGGCGACGGTGACCCTGCGATAGTTTTTTTTTTTTTTTCCTGTGAGGAAGATCAGCCCTGAGCTAACATCCTCCGTGCTAATCCTCCTCTTTTTGCTGAGGAAGACCGGCTCTGAGCTAACATCTATTGCCAATCCTCCTCCTTTTTTTCCCC